AAGAGCTCCCAGAAACTGCAGCCAACTGCCCGGCTTTCCTTCGAAGCCGAGAGACCCAGTGAGCTCTCAGACCCCCAGATCATTCACATACTGCCCGGTGACTGATGTGGGTGCCTGTTAAGGGGCCTGTGGTCCCCTCGAGGCTTGGTCTGCCAGGCCTGCGGGGCCAGGGGAAGAGCCGTGGGCTGGTCCCTCTGTGGATGTCACAGGTTTGAGCCGCTGGAGAGGACCCCTCCATGTGCTGTGCTGTGGGGAGCTGCTGCCCAGCTGCTGCATGCAGGGCAGATCTCAGTCATCTCTGGGGATTTTGGGGTGCAGTAGGCTGGTTCCTAGGAGAGAGGATTGCCATGGAGCAAGGGGACAGATGTTTCCTCGTGGTGGGCAGGTCTCCAGCTTCCCTCCTTTGGGGACCCCCCAGCACAGCCAAGGGTCCCTGCGTGCTCAGCCACCACAGGGCTGCTCCTGGGCTGAGGCCTCCATCACATCAGCCTGGCAGTGGGATTTATAGCTCACTGGTGACTTGCAGCACTTCCCCAGGTTACTCTGGCAACACAGAAGGGGTTTGCACCCACACCGAGGTGCCTGCACACCTGTGCTCCCCAGCCACATTTTTCTTTTGTTGGGTAAGAAATGACTTGCAGAGCATTTCACGCAAGCAGCTCAGCTGCTGGCTATTTTATTGAACGCCAGCACTCGCTGTATGTTATTCAGACAAACTTTATATATGCTACAAACCCTCTCAGCAGCCTGCACCTGGTCCAGGGCAAAGCTGAGCCTCATAGAGAAGAATGTGCTGTAATGCAGCAAGTTATTACAGGATAAATATTTATAAACCCCTGTAAATATTTGCCATCGGTTCCCTCCTGGGACTAGGGGCAGACGGTCAGAGTTTCAGTGGTGCTGAAGGCATTAGTTGTTGTAGTTCTTTATATGTTATCTCAGCTAGTAAACTCTTTGTTGACTGTGTTTAGTTACAGCATTTAATGGTGCTAATTTCACACTAACTGGAGTCATCGACTGGAATTGTTGTGTGCCTTAATCCTGGCCCTGCCGTGGGCTGGCTCTTGGTGTCAGCATCCTCTGCAGCCCGGGCAGTGCCAGGCACCGGGCTGGGGCGGCAGAAGGGGTCGCCATGGCTGCAAAGCTTCCCCGTGCAGATGCCCCTGGCGCGGGAGCGTTCCTGGCTGTGTCAGAGTTACTGGAACCTTGGAGATATCTGCTGAGAAAGCCAGAAAACAAACACCGCAAAGCTAACATCCTCCTTGGCAGGCTGGGCCCCGCAGGGGCGACGGGCCCTTTGCTGGCC